CCTGTGTTCCCACTGAGATCCTGGGATACAAACCCAGGACCTTCCTCATGCAGGTTCAGTTGCACAACCAGTGCACCACTGCCTGCCCCAGGATTTGAATTTTGATCTTCCCCCAGGCTAGGAATATGTGGTATAATATTCTCATGATGCTGGGCAGTGGTGATGAGACACAGCTGCCAGTCAGCTACCCAAGGGCAAGGATGAACAGCTCTTACTGTGTTCTACAGTGTTCAGTACTCAGTAAATGGCATGAGATAGTCAACCCTGTATTATAAAACAGGCTTTGAGTTAAGTGATTTTGCTCAGCGATAGGCTAGCGTAAGTTTCCTGAGCGTGTTTAAGGTAGGTTGAGCTAAGTGACGATGTTTATAGGTTAGATCTATTGAATGCATTTATGATTTAAGATATTCTCAGATTATGATGGGTTTATTATGATAAAACTCCACTGTAAGTTGGGGATTGTCTGCATCTACTATACTGAAAAATGATTATTCTTGGGGCCAGCAAGTGGCGTGGAGGTTAAGGTGACTGGTTCCCACACAGCCCACTGTGTGGCTGAACCTGGATCTGGTGGCCTGAAAAACATGCGGGCATGTATCTGTGTATGCCCACAATCCTGAAAGGAGAATAGGGGAGAAGGGATGGTGGCCAAACCATCCCCCAGGATGTGATTTCTCACTCTCTCTAGCTATTTCTCTCTGGTAAGCACATGTACCCTATAGCAAACTGAAAAATAAATAAATAAATAAATAAAGATTACTCTTTTTTTTTTTTTTAAGAGATTTTTGCTATAGGGCATGTGTGCTCACCAGAAAGAGAGAGACAGAGAGACAGAAAGCAAGAAATCACCCCCCAGGAGCTATGGCCATGCTGCAATCCCTTCTCCTCCATTCTCCTCTCGGGATCTTGGACGCACACACACACACTCGCTCCCCTGGGGATCGCGGCCGCCCACACCCACACACACACACACACATGCCTGGTGTAAAGTCAAGCCACTGGATCTAGGACTTGAACCGCAATCGGCTATATGGGAGTCCAGCGACATAGCCATTATGCCAACTGCTGGTCCCAAATAAAGATTGCTCTTATTCTCGTTATAATTCAGCCTGCTTGGTTAAATTGCTATGCTATAGTGAAATCATGTTCTGTATTGACAGGGATAGGTACAGTAAGTCTGTGAAATATAAAAGGCCTAAGGTTGGGATTATCCTCTTATCTCAAATTCGAGTCCCTAAGAACTTTTTCTAAAGAACATCAGTGGATTAAGTATTCCACTTCCGAAGTGAAAAAAAGACCACTGTGCTATTTGTGTTTATCCTATAAAGTGAATCTTGCCCCAAACTCTTCTAAGAATAATAAAGAAAATGCATGTGTTCATACATAGACACATGTGTGCATATTCACACACACACACACACACACACACACACACACACACACAAGAGTAACTGCAGAGAAACTATTTTATACCTGGTTTTGTAACCCTTTACAATCATATCCAACAAGATCAAGAGGCCTCTTTGGAATCCAGAGTCAGATCTTTCTTTCCCTTGGAGCCTCTGAATCCCAGAATGGAGCCTCCCAGACAGGAACTCCAGGAACCTTCTCTCCAGTGCTTTTACCTAAACTTCAGTCTAAGGCAGGGGTCCCCAATCCCTGGACCAGTACCAGTCCATGGCCTGTTAAGAATCAAGCTGCATAGCAAGAGGAAAGCGAGTGAAGCTTCATCTGTAAATTCAGCCACTCCCCACCACTCGCATTACAGCCTGAACTCTGCCTCCTGGCAGCCGTGACATTAGATTCTCGTAGGAGCCCCCAAATGGGACCATTGACTTGCAGGAAGGACCAGATCAGGGCTCCCGGTGATTCTGCATTATGGCAAGCTATATAATTATGTCATTATATATTATAATGTAACAGTAATCACAATCAATGTAGTGGGCTTGAATCATGCCCAAACTATCCCTCTCACCCCTACCTCCACTCCATGGAAAATTTGTCTTCCACAAAACCGATCCTGGTGCCAGAAAGACTGAGAACCACTGATCTAAGGGATTTACTTTTCTCAAGGCACAATTAGCATATGGAGTTGTTGCTAATAGGGCTTTGTTGCCTGGGGCTGTGATGAAAGTCAACTTGGTGTATTGTTCAGCATCTCGGCTGCGCAGGGTCTGCACCAAGAATGATCTCTTATCTCTGGGGTCTAGGCAAGATGGTTTTGACCCTTTGAGGTGCCTGCTGGCCCCTATTCTCTGAAAGCAGTTGGAGAGTAGAGCCAAAAGGGGGCATCGTCTCTGGGAACTCAGCTGACCTGGGTACAGGCTGCATCCCTGCATGTCTGCTGAGTGGCCACAGGCAACCACACGACCTCTCTGAGCTTTGATTTCTTGGCCTGTGTCCTGAGCTCACAGCACTGCTTCTGGGTGAGGAGGGAATCTGTGGGAGAAATGCTCTACACAGACCAGCTCCGTTAGTCCTGCTGGGGGCTACTCCCCATCACCTCTGGCCAGCTAGTTGACAGGCTGTCAAAATTCGACTCTTCCCCGCCAAACACTCCTTGGTCCATTCTATCGGACGTGGCCTTCTGTGCCTCAATAGCAGCCCTGCTGTTTTCACAGCAACTGGCAGATTCCACCCACTCCATCACCAAGTCCTCTGGTCCCAGCCTCCTCAACCCCCTTGGCCTAGGGGAGCAGAGAGGAAACAGAGCTCAACAGATACTTTCCGCCTCCCAAAGAAGATTTTTAAAACCAGTAATGACCCTGTAACTGTAGGGCCTGCCATTAGCAAGACCCGGAGCAAGCCATTAAGAAGGGAACAGGCTCCATGAGGACGATGAATTTCTGCCGCACCATGGCGGGGTACAGAGTGCCCCAGGTATGGCCTATGCCTGCTGTGCGCTCTCGAGCCATTAGCACAGCTGCTCCCCAACGGCACCGACGCTGGCAGATCAGAGAGCCAGTGGAGCCACGGGCAGGAGCTGGATGTCTGCCCTGCCCACTCTGCACCTGGCACCACCCTCTTCAGCATGACTGGGCAACTTTGGTTGGTGTTGCTTGATGAGGAGTTGCAGGTCACGCATACACAGGCAGGCACCAATATACCTACCTGCACACACATACATGCATGCAAATGTGCTCACATGCACCTGCACAGATGTGTTCACCCACACGCACAGACGTGTATATGGATGCACCCTGCACACACACGCCCATGTGCACACACGCAGAGCCACAGACTTTTGGCACTTTTTCTGTCTTTGGGCCCCTGAGACCACCCAAGGGCCTCATTAGTGTTCTTTTACTTCTGGCTTTGGGTGGGCGTAGGTGAGACCAGTCTGGCTGTCATTAGATGTCCTCTTGGCCCACAGCCCCTGAGCCTGGCCTGGGCTGTCACAGGAGGAAACCACCGTTATTTAGTTTTCCGTTTTCTTCCCCACACCAGGGAGGACTCTGAACGCTGAGCTGCCCAAGGGTATGAGCTGCACACGTAGCTGTCCGAGATTCATTTTAGAATTCCCGGTGGCGGTGTCAGACTGTACCGAATCCAGAGTGTCAGACTCTATTTAGACAAACCCAGTGTCTGGTCCAAGCATGCATCCTCTGATGAGCACACGCAAGCACATGCACACACACACTTACACAAATCCATAGCGATATGCTCCACTGCAGCTGGGCCTACATACACAAATCTTTAAATGCATGCATGAGTACACACTCACACAAGCACACACACTCATACATGAGATATACGCACATACAGACATGTATACACGCTCATACACATGTGATCACATCACACGTACAAATATGCACAGGTACATGCATGCATAACACAGAGACAAGAATGTACATGCATACACACACAAGAGCAGAGATATGCACACATGAAAACCCATGCACAGGAGCAAGCATGTACGCACATGCATGCCAAAGTGGCAGAGGATGCTGCGAGATCCTGCAGCCAGGTTGGAAATCCTGTCCTGTCTCCTGCCCTCTTGTGCCAGAGTGGGGTCTTTTGCTGAATGAGCAGGAGACACTCAGGCTTGGCGGACCTCCAGCTGAAGGGAAGCAGAAAACACTGATTCCACTGTTGAACTGTTTCCACGTGCTTGCCTCCTAGCCGGGTTGCGCTTCCAGATTCTGTCCCTTCCCCCACCAGCCATTGGAGCTCTGAGCTGTCTCTAGAGCACCCCGAACCAGGAAGGATCCCAGGAACCTTAGCCTGACATGTCCCTTCAGCCCGGTTGTCCCCTGACATAGACACCACCCTGTGCACCAGCCACTCGAGGTTCCTCCCTCGTCCCCGGACCTTAAGACAGAGGAAATTTTGACAGTCACTCCTCTGCCCTTGCCATCCACTTGCCTACTCGCTCCTAGGCAACTTTTTTTTTTTTTGGAGGGTTTTTTTTGTTGTTGTTGTTGTTGTTGTTTTTTTGCTATAGGGCACGTGTGCTTGCCAGAGAGAGAGAGACAGAGAGACAGGAAGCGAGAAATCACCCCCCAGGGGGGATGGCCATGCCGCAATCCCTTCTCCATTCTCCTCTTGGGATCTTGGGCATGCACGCACATGCGCCCGGTGTGAGTTTTAAACCACTGTGTCTGGGACGTGAACTGTGGTCGACTACGTGGGAGTCCAGTGACATAGCCATTACTCTAACTGCTGGTCCCACCTAGGCAACTTTTAAGGCTAGGTGGCATGGTCCTTTCTCTTACTGACCTCTTGCCCCCCAGGCACAGCTGGGCCCCCTCCTCTGCTATCCCCGAGCTGGGCATTCATACCCCCATACTGTCCTTGCGCCGTAACATCGTCAGGCTCGGTTGTCTCTGCTTTGCCCATTCAGTTGGTTTTGAAGGGCCCAGACTGTATCCACCCCATTCTAGTATGCCAGCAGCCTGGCACATGGCAAGCCCTCAATAAGTACACATCGAGGGAATGAATGAACAAACAAATGTGCCAATGGTGCTGAGTTGAAGTCAGTCCTATTCTATTTGGAGACAGGACCTGGGCCAGCTGGAGAAGCCTGCCTGTCAGCCACACTGCTTGCAGTTTCCGCTGCAGCCCAGAACGGAGGATCTGCAGAGAAAACCTAGAGAGGAAAATGCCACCTGCCAGCCCCATTAATCAGAAAATGCCCACTTTCTCTGGAAGGCTCCATTTCCAGGTAAAGGGGAAATCTAATCAGATGTTCTGGATTCAAGTCTATATGGATTTCTGATCAATGAATCGAAACTTGGTATTGTCTTCCAGCCGTGACTCGGATTAGATTTCTAGTCCCACGAAGCTCGGACACGTCCCAGTGAAGGAAAACTCTCAAAGGCAAAAGGAGAAATAATCCCATGATGGCAACTCTAAAAGGAGCATGTCACATCTCCATGTCCATCTCCAGAAGCTGAACCTGTGCCCAGCGCGTACCTGCAGATGGCAGCTCTCTACCAACACAATGTTCATCATTTCCTCTTACCCCATAAACCTTGGCAAGGGCAGGTGCCCCTTCCCATCCCTTGCAGCCCGGTAAGGTCAATTCATCCTGATCTTAGCTGAGGCTTTTGCCATTTAAAGACACGTCGGATATTTTGGTTCTGAGTTTCCACCTTTATCATTAAAGCAATTATCGGCTAAAAATGCTCTGCTCCCTAAAACAATGCCATCAGACGGCGGCGGGAGCAGATCTGAAGTTATAAATAACTTCCTTTCTTCCTGCTACTTGTTTGCAGGGCTATATAAATCTTCAGGTGTGTGAATTTCATCATTACTAATGTTCTTTAAAATGTAATAAAACTTTTCTCATTACATAAGCCAGCCAATCAGAATGAGTCCCTCGCAGACCCTCAGCCATAGACCCATCGTATTTGCATTGCAGAACAACTGTAATTTTATTCATGGGTTGGCATAGCCTCAGCCCATCAGTAATTAAACACGGAACAGCTGTCACTCTGCGGCATCCCAGGCAGACAGGATGGAATAATGAGCCCCTATTGACGGGTTCGGCAGTAGGGGGCTGGCATGGATGGGGGCTGGTGCAGGCAGGGGACTGGCGCGGGCAGTGGCTGAGATGGGTGTGGGATCACTGAGCTGGGCTCAGGGCTGTCATCCACTCTGGACTTTCCTCTTTGATTCTGCAGAAAGCAGGGCAGTCTCTGCGTAGAGAGATGGTGGAGTTATTGCGGGAAAGTAGTGCTGCTCAAACGTGTACGCAGTTCCCAGAGACCACGTGGGGACGTAGTGGAGGTGGGCTTCGGGGGGAGGGGTGCACTTCCGGCTTCCACTTTATAGCCTTCTTTGCACCTGCTCCCTACCTGCCCCTACTCCAGTCTGCTTGACTGCTTCTCTGGATGCCTCTCAGGAACTCTCCCTCCTTCCTCCCTCTTGCCTGGTATAGGTTGTCTATACCCCCCCACAGCCCCACCAGCAGGGGACAAGGACAGGTCTCCCAGAGCCCACGAAGAGCCCACATTGGGAACTCACAGGCAAAACTCTGGGCTCTACCTTCTTGCAGGCCTAGCTCCCTGACCACTGGTCAGGGTTGCACACACTGAGAGCGGCCCCCAGGAGAACCCCTCCATCCTACCTCAGGCCTCATGCTGGCCTCATGGAGGCATGGAGGGTGGCCTTCCTCTATGAAGGCTCCTTGACTTACTGGGCCCATGGAACACTCTTGTCTTCATACGTTCTGCTGCACTTGAGGCGGAGAAGAGCTGAGCAGTCTGGGTTGTATGGACTATGGGTGGGCAACACAGGGCCCCCTCAGTGAGGCTGTACTTGAAGGTCATCTCAGGGGCACTGGGGTGGGTGCGGAGGACTTCTAGGAATGGATTGGCAGGTGCTGACTGTGGTGTCTGAGATCTGGTAGACCCATGTCCTGCACCCAGAGTGACAAGGGGAAAGAGGGACCCTGCGCAGTACCCTGGGTGAGGGACTGCCTATCTTAAATGTGTAGATGGTGATGGGGCCTGTCTGGGTGATTGATCTGTAGGGCGCTAGGGTGAGGGTTTCCCAGAAGAAAGGATGATGGGTGGGAATCCCTGAGGTCATCACTGGGGATAAATGGGTCTTCTAGATCATTGTTGGGGGAGAGGGTGTACCTACTGCCAGGCTGTGCCCTTGAGGACCCAAAGAAGGGGAGGCATGCAATCCAGGCCCAGAGTAGGAGGGTCCCTTCATCACACGCCATCACCACACACACTGAGACCAGAGACTTGGCTGCGCCAAGGTGCTCCTGGGCCTGATTTTCTCCCTGAGACTGTGAGAGTTTAGGGCCTGCTGTCCTCTGCATCTTCAGGTCTGCACCTGTGAGGCTGGCTGGAGTTTTCAAAGCCATCTGTGGAACCACGAGGTCTGATGGCAGGAAAGAATATCTGAGTTCCCTTCTAGAGAGGCTCCTGGGGATCGGCAGAGAATGTCCGTAGGACAAGTGGGGTCAAAGTTCTCACACAAAACAGTGGGTGCTGGATATGCCTGTTAGACCAGGGACCCTGAAGACTGAAGAGGATATGAGCATGCAAGAACAGATGGTCTTGGGACCAGCAGATGGCATAATGGTTACATCGCTGGGCTGCCATGTAGTCAACTGCAGTTCAAGTCCCGGACCCGGTGGCACGCCAGGCACATGTGTGTGCATGCCCAATATCCTGAAAGAAGGAGGTATTGCAGTGTGGCCATCCCCCCTGGGAGTTGATTTCTCACTTTCTGTCTCTCTGTCTCTCTGGTGAACACATACACCTTATAGCAAAAATCTCTCTCGCAAAAAAATAAATAAATAAAATAAGCAGCAACAAAAAACAGGCAGTCTTATGGCTGACAACACACAGTCCCTGGGGTGTGTGAACCCTGTGGAACACCATGGGGCGCCCCCCAAGGCTTAGCTGCTTGACTATAGGCAAAAGCAAGCACTTAGGGACATGTAAGAATGTGCAGGTTTGTAAGTGTGCACATTGAGAATGCATGCATACACATGGGGGTGTGCAGGTATGATTATGCACGTGTGTGCACATGATATGAGAGTGTGCACATGTATGTGTGAGTGTGCACATGTCGTATGTCCCCACTATACTATGCTGTCAGGAGGACCTGGGGTTCCAAGAGCCAGGTGGATATTCCAGCCCCAGAGCTCCTTTGGCCCTTCCTCAAGCAGTGGACCCACTGTACAAGCTACAAGGGATGAAAGGAGTCACTCCCACTAGGGAGACAGCAGGGGATGTCTGCAAAGCCTTCTCTGCTACCAAAAATCAAGATGGCTCAAAGCCAGCAAAGAGGAGGCATTCTTGGGACAAGACCACAAGGTTCTCACTGCCTGTGTTCAGTTTGGATGGCTGTGGCTTCTGGGGTGCAAGTTGCTGTGAGTGAGTGTACCTACTCTGAGTGGGGGGGGGGGGTTAGTCTCCATTGGCTCACGTGACTCGCA